GATAAGTTAGAACTTCAGTTTGGAATCATACCTGAACAAAAACGATGCCTCGGAAATTTGCTGCGAATTATAAAAACTGATAAAAATTCAGACACGGAATCCAAAAAAATAATATAAAAATCAGATTTTGATCAAAAGTTGACTGTACACTTAACGAATCAGCAGAAACAAATTTCAAAAAGTAACTTACTGGGTTAAAAATTTAAATTTAAAAAAGCTTTGCGCTTAAGTTTAATGTTTTATATAGTAATACTTTGGAATTCACTTGTAAGTAAAAACGATTCAAAGCTAAATTCGGGAATAATTTAAACATTGAGAGCAATAATTTGGTTTCCAATTCAAATTTATTGAAATATTATTTAATTATGAATTTTGAGTTAGAAACGTTCATTCATAATTTCAGAATTTCTTGAAATTCCTTCAATGTTAGTTCGCATTACTTTTATCACATTTTAATCTTGCATTTTAGAGCGGCACACGAAATGTGGCAAACCAGGGTTTCTGCATTGGTTTCAACGGCAACTATCAGTTTCTTCGAAGATAATTTTTTATATATACATTTATCTAAGGTATTCTAAGTTTCTAACATTCGATATTCTCTCAATCAGAGACCTGAAAGTTGAGCAAATTAAGTATTTAAAAATTTCCGTACCTAGCTGCTGAAGTTTCTCATCATCCCTTTTTCCGGCTATTTAGTTATTTTGCTCTTTAAGTTTTTAATTTATTTAACCAATACGAATGTTTTAAAATGGACAGCTTGCAGACTTGTGGTTATTTACATTTTTGAAAGTGAGTATTTAGAGTTCAGGTGAATCGGTGAATATACAAAACCCCCCTCCACCTGGAAACTGTTTTTAGAGCAAATCTGACGTCGGAATAATTTTTATCGCATTTTTCTGATGGAGAGAAACCATTTTCAAAAATTGTTTGAAGAGAAAATTGCTGACTGCCGGGCCCCAATACGCCCTCAAACCTTTTGGGCGGTTGCAAATACGCCACTAAAAAACCTTTCGTTTTGCGTTATAAACACTTTTTCTAGGTTAATCGATGTCGTGGATTCTGAAAATTTTGTCAGAAAACTTTATTAGTTATCGGAAGGAAGGATTTCATGATTTAAAATTCTTAGAATATAGATTTGCAAAATTTTGCTTTTATCAAAAAAAAAATTTTCTTGCCACAAAACTATTTCTGACAAAATATTATTATTCAGAATCAGCGACATTGGTTCACCTATAAAAAGTGTTTAAAATGCAAAAACAAAAGTTTTGTTAGTGGCGCTATTGCATTCGCCCACTGTGATTGAAGTTCGTGAGGTACCCCGGCTGTCAGGAATTGTTTCTTTAAAAAAATTTTGAAAAATGGTTTCCATATCAAAAAAACGCGATAAAAGTTGTCCAGATTTACTCTAAAAACGTTCGAGGTCGAATGGGGTCTCGTATAATCACTGAAGCGCAAAGGTATTTACTGTTGGTTGTTTAATTTTTCAGAGAATTATTTAGAATTATTTAGAATTATTTAGAATTATTTAGAATTATTTAGAATTATTTAGAATTATTTAGAATTATTTAGAATTATTTAGAATTATTTAGAATTAGAATTATTTAGAAGTACATTCATCGAATCAAATCTGGATCGGGTCTTACGGTTGATACCCACACGCAGGAATTTTAAAATATTTTCGAAACTCATAACATAACAGCTCTTTTAGGAAACTGCGTTTGAGACTTAGATGTGCTCCTTTTTGTCACTGCCCAAACATTTTAGTTCGACTCAGCACATCAAACTGTACAGATATAGTACGTATCGTTATGGCGACCTCAGGGACCCGGGTTCGAGGTCTCCGAGTACTTCAGTTCGACTCGGCAGGTCAAACTGTGCATTTGTAGTACATATCGTTTTGGCGACCGGGAACCCAGGTTCGAGGTCTCCGAGTACTTCAGTTCGACTCGGCAGGTCAAACTGTGCATTTGTAGTACATATCGTTTTGGCGACCTCGGGAACCCAGGTTCGAGGTTCCCGAGTACTTCAGTTCGACTCGGCAGGTCAAACTGTGCATTTGTAGTACATATCGTGGTGGCGACCTCGGGGACCCGGGTTCGAGGTCCCCGAGTACTTCAGTTCGACTCAGCACGTCAAACTGTACATATATGGTACATATCGTTGTGGCGACCTCGGGGACCCGGGTTCGAGGTCCCCGAGTACTTCAGTTCGACTCAGCAGGTCAAACTGTACATTTGTAGTACATATCGTGGTGGCGACCTCGGAGACCCGGGTTCGAGGTCCCCGAGTACTTCAGTTCGACTCAGCACATCAAACTGTATAGGAATCACGATGAAAATCGGTGGCGACCCAAAGGTCACTCGGCGAACCAAAGGTCACTGTCACTTCCGTTACATCGAACCCTCAACATGTCTTGAATTAGAAACGCGGGCTCGCTTCGCTCGCCCGCTTGAATATTTCAGCTGGACTGTGCAGTTCACCCAGTGGACGGCATCACATGGATAACGTCGCCAGGATGCGAGAAAATCCCCGATGCAGAATTTGTCAGACATCCACGGAAACAGCCGACGATGACCCGGTACATGCAACGTGCATTCGGCACGGTTGACGTAGTCCATAGCCGTTCCCATCGCGAACTTGTATTCCATGCCCACTAAGTAAATCCCCTTCAGGTGGATTCCCGCATGGTGTTGGAACGCAAAATCGAGCAGTTCGAAGACCATCGGCCAATCACCAGCCGCCAGACGCCGTTCGCGCGTCGCCATAATGAGCCGCTTGGTGGTGGCACGGAGGCACTTGAAGATGGGGTACGTCAGCCAGTCGTCATCGCAAGTGTCACGCTGCATTTTGCCGATGGTCTTCACGATAATGTCCGCGGTCAACTCCGGCGACTGCAAGGTGGTATTCCAGGCTGAGCACACAGCGCGCAACTGTGTCCGCTCCAGTGTGTCCAGATGCGAGAAGGTCTCCCTCCACAAATCCGTTGGCATCATGTCGAGACGCAGCAGTTCTCCATTCGATGCTGACGAATAGTCCAACGGCAGCGACACACTGCATTTCACGTATACACAATCCCAGTTTGCGGCGCTTACAGGTGTAACGCCGTTCGCGTGATCACCTAAATTAAGGAAATAGTCACAATCTCGAATATGTAGTTCTTACACCGTTCTTACACCGATCCACTGTTGTGGCATGTTTTTCAAATTTTAAAATAAATTTCAAAAATTTTAAAATTCATTTTAAAATTCGAAAAAAGTCGTGGAAGTCTGGATCCATGTAAGAACGATCTTCACGGTTATGCGCATTCACAGATACATGCAAAATTTGAAAGGGATCGGTCCATAATGAGACTTTTGGTACACCTGAATGCATTTAAACTTTTTGGAATTTAGCTAACCTTATAACTCCCGAACCGGATGTTGCGCGCGAAAACGGATTTCACGGCTATGTATTCAAATCATTTGGCTACATAATGTAAAAAACCAACCCAGAAAAGTGTTTGGAAGGGCGCGAAGCGAATATTCCCGTCAGTGTACACGGATTTAGTGTATGTACTGGGCCAAATCCCTTAAACCCGTGAATTCCTCGCTGTTTCGCGAAAGCGAAATGCGAAAGAATTGCGGGGCAAGCTGTCTAATTATAAGCGCCAACACTGCGAACGCCCTCAGTGTGTACTACTTATACCTTCACATAAGAAATTGATCACCCGGCTTGTAAATGAAAGTGGTACCATGTACCGGAATTTTCCTTATAGTTAAATAAATTATTTTTTATTTATCGTTATAAAAATGAGTTTTGTACTTAGAGACCCACTAATCATAATATCAAAGCTGTGGAGGTATCCTGTAGGAGCCGGCAGCCTGACTGTGGCCCACCACGTGTTCGGGACTCTCCAGCGAATCCGCCGCAACGGGACAATGTCCGTGTACCGTTGCCCGTTGTTCCACCACTGGATTTCGGCCACAACAAATTTCCCGTTCATCACACGCTCCGGTGCGTGTACCGTCGGCAACGAGGTCAGCACTTCCGCAGGCCGCCACGTCCACGCCACGGAACGGGACTCACGCAGGAGGACTTCCGCAGGAATGGTCCGTTCCGGTCGATCATAAGCCCGCGCTAACACTGTACCATCGAATGAACTGCCCCGGCCGGTGTGATCCTTGTTATACCGGAAAACCCGCCGCAACGGCGTCAGTTCGAGGCGCCGGTTAGGACAGAGGAAGTCGATGAAGAGCCCGGTATCGGCCACACCCACGACCCGTCCGTAACGAAACAGTCCATCGTCTCCCAGAACATCCACACAATTCCACTGGTCAACGATATCGGACATGGTAACAGAGAAAAAATGACGGGAATGTTCGAAAAACTGTAGTATAGTAAAAGCGAAACAAAAGATATGGTTTTTGTAGGGCGTGAAATATTTGGACAACTGCGTTAATCGATCTGTTTTACGTGCGTAAATCTTCGGAGAAAACTGCTGGCTGGATGCTGCGGCTATGCGTTGTACCGCTGTGAGTGGACTGGTCAACTTTTCCCATACCGGTCAGCTTTGTGTTGGCCGTACGTACGTACATGCGGTCATACACTCCCACCGATCGGGCCTTGTGATCTCAAGTACTCAAAGGAACCTTTATGGTCAGCGGAAAAAGCGCCGCCTCTGCAATGCACTGAATCACCGCACTCTGGACAATAAGTTTGGAGATTATGCGTGGTAATGCTATGAGTGTATTGTGCACAGTCCCTTCTCATGTTAGTTGGGACAAATTCTTTATCAGATTGTACGAGTATATACTGAGTGGTGCTCGTTGATAAGCATACTGAAAAATACATCACTATCACTTTTTTATAAAAAAACTGTGCAGTTTTCTTAACGTAGAACAGCGCAGAAAATACCGCGTTTCCGGTATCGGGTAAACGGGCCATATTGTGAAAGTGTCCGGAATGCGAAAAAGTACCGGTCTTTCAGATTATTACATTCAATGCACGAATTACTGGACAACTTTTCTTCGACTTATTTTAATGCCGAATTTCTCTCCTGAAATAATAATAACCAATTTTCCGCAGAATTCTTTTACATGCACAATTCGCATGCCAACCAAACGTGAGGCCGCGGCGCGCACTGGCGCTAAAAATAACACAAAAAACATAACAAAGCTAAAATTCACACAGACATATCCGTAATATTTCCCATCCGCACAAATAACATCCTATGACGTCATCGCAACACACATTAATCCGCCACTTTGCTCTCGTACATTAACCAAAAACTGCCGAACAAGCAAAGAGAGAGAAGGGAGAGAAGAAAGAGAATTTGAAAGAGAGGCGCTCATAAAAGAAAAAAAACTAAAAAACATTACGAAAGTAAGACCAAAACAGGACGCCCAGCGCGGCATACAAACAAAGCAAAATTTCCGGGGTTTTCCGGTTGGCTAGCGGCTGCGGGCGGGCGGTGTGACGCCGCTGTGTTTGCTCTTCTCGACGGCGCCGGGCGGGGAGTCGATGAGGTGTTCGGGGGGCTGGCCGCGCTGGATGCGCTCCCACATGCGGAAGTAGAGATCCTCCAGGTTGCGCGTGTACAGCCGCGTGTTGAACAGGGGACTGGTCAGACGCGCACGGAACACCTGCGCTCGTACGGCTTTCAAACTGCAAAATACACGGCCGTTAAAGTTTATATACAGTTAAAACGCACACAGGTACAGTAATATGCTCTTATCTTGCGGAATGACGTAGTGTAATGGCATGTAGGCGCACAATTCATTCAGACCCAAGCCTATGCGTTTTAACTATATAAATAACAAGTGCGCAGAATGGGTTATTTTTATTTATTCAAAATTTATTTTTGAAATTTATTTTGGCGGATTATTTTTATTTATTTAAAATCTTTTCTTTATTTAAATTTTCTTTATTTATTTAAGTTTTTTTATTTGTTTTTATATTTTTATTTGTGTATACTTATACTTCTTATACATTTTTTCATTTATATTTCCCCCATAACATAACATATTGCTTGTTGGAATTTTAAAAGACTTTTCAGCTCAATTGTTTTTACTTTAGGTACTTCACCGTACTTGCCTGATATATACCGGTACGGCTTTCAAAAGGCCTCGACGCATCATGTGCAAGTATACTGTTCTGCTACAACAACAACGCTAATCCAAGTCGTAGCGGTTGCAGTGAAATGGCATAAAGTACCACTGACAACCATTGACATGTGAAGGGAATGTTCAGTGCATATCATTAATTACGCCCATTACGGGCAGTGAAAAACAATTTTTTTATTTGTTCCAACTATTCCCGATTTTTGTCATTACTCAAATTATTTTCTGGTTAAATTATAAGAAACTGGTATTTAACCCTTTATACCGTACACAGTACAGCTTAAAAAGTTACGAAGAAACTCACGTATTTTATAAAATTCACTGGTTTTCTAGGTAAATATCCCAGGAACCGATCGTTGGAATGTTTTGCATTCACTAGTTCATAATTATATAGAGCTTAACTGAGTAACAAGATTTATTCAAAAAATTAAATATTAATTTTCGTTTTTAAAAAGAACTATACTGGTACGTTCTAACACCCGTATTTGTTAATGGAGCACTTACTAATTTGAATCGTTGCCCAGTCTGACGGCTATCTCCTCGTATTCATCCAGGGATGAGGCAATCAGCTCCGGCATGCCCAGCGCGGCCAGCTGCGATGAGGCGACGCGCGACGCCAGTGTCTCTTCTACGATGGCAAAACAATTAGCGACATGTCGGTGCGCATCTTATGGCGATGAAACAACGTTGTTATCGTGTACGCGAGACACGCTCTAATTTCGAAAAAAGACGGAAATCAATAGAGTAACAGTCGACAAGCGGAGCGCCATCAATACGAGTATCCTGATTCCGTAAAAGAGACAATTTCCACGCGCGTGCTGCGCGCAGAGATTACCGATTTAAGCCGGAAACGAGGCACCACGCGAAAATCAACGTTTATAAAAATGAAAACAAATTTGAAAAAGTTTTTCGACAGTCAGACATAAAACATAAAAACTTCTGTTTCCTAGTTAATTTTCTCTGAAGCTTGAAAATTCACATTTACAACATTATCCCTTGATGTTGTTTAGGGTTTTTTAGTTGTTAATATCAGGCATAACTGTCGGTTTTCGCGAATACGAACGTCCAAAATTAATCCAAGTAGGTTATAAAATTCGGCTGAGAAACTGTAATTAAAATCAAATACCTTCCGCAAATTAATTTGAAAAACTGCAGTTTCTAGGAAATACAATTGAAGCAAAGGAAATTTCTTGAAATGCTTGAACAACAACCTACGCCCCTTGATCTGAGCCATCTTTCTACAATTTTCCCAATTAAATTAGTTTCGTGTTGAATCGTAGATTTCCAATCCTTAGTTTCTCAATCCAGCTTATCCAAAAAAATACAGGGAGACAATCAGCGCACTGCGGTGTCAAATTAAGTAGTGCTAATCAGTACTTAAAAAATAAACACTGTCAAACATACCAAACATCTAGAACTTCTAACTAACTTCTAACATCTAGAACTTCGAATGCTGAATTTAATTTATTTAATACTATTAATTTCACTTAATAATTCAAGTTAATTCCAAACCTATTCAAATTCACGAAGATAATAATTTCAAAGATTCGAAAACCGATAATATTAATACGCTATCTGAGAAGCCAGTTCCCAGGAAATCTCGTTTCTTTATACCGAAACATATTACACTAAAAATCAATCCATTACAGTATGACGACGACCGTCATAATTAATTTTCACATCAAGGCTATAAAATATTGTATAACCTGCCTCGAACAGTCTCTTCAACGCAACTACAGTAACAATAAAGAGCCAACGAAAAAATTCTGCCGACTAAAATTCTTACTTGGATAGGTGATCATGGGTGTGCCGGCCCACAGCACATCCATCCCGGTGGTGTGGCCATTACACAGCGGCGTATCCAGGCACACGTCGGACAGCTGTCCGCGGCGGACGTGTTCTTCCTTGGGCGCCACGTTGGAGAAGATGACGCGCTGCGGGGCCACGCCCATCGCGGCCGCCCGCTGCTGGAGATTCACTTCGCCCACGGCCGGGAAGCGCAACAGCCACAGGACACTGTTAGGCACCCGCTTCAAAATCTACATCCAGAAAACCGAACAAATATCAGCATTTTAAATAAAAAACAAAACCGATAAGGCATACAATACATAATATGGCAAATAAATAAAAATTCAACATTTTTCAACGGAATTTCTTAAATCGCTCACACGCAACCCACCATATTTACTGTTGAGCCATCTTGCTACAAGATTCTCTTCCAACCACCGATAATTACGGCAAATAAATAAAAAATCCAAAAAATTTCACCGAAAAGTAAGAAAATTTCTTACGCTGCTTACACAGATTGTCATGTACAATATACCGAGCTTAGCCATCATTTTACAACCTTCTATTTCTCTACTTAGCCAATGATTAGGGCAAAATAATCAAAATACAAATTCATCAAAAATTTACATATATCAACAAAAACCAAACAAACTGCAATAACCAAAGATTTAAAATAAAAAATGAAACGATAACTAGTCCAAATAAATCAAAATAAAGATTCAATAAATCATTCATATCAACAACTGTATATCGCACTAATCGCAGTAAAAATGCCATATATAAATCGCAATAGATACAAACACACGGAAAATAAGACAAAAACACAAACAATTACGTTAGGTAAATTACAGTTAAGTGAATCAACAAACCACACACAAAAATACCGTAACAAATTAAAGAAAAATAAATCACCGGAAAAAAAACGTACTTTTTTCAGATTATATGCAGATTTAATTTACTTACATTGCACCAGATCCGGAAGATCTCCGGGTCGATTTTGTACAGTTGATTGAAATTGCAGTAGATGACGGCGTCCTCCGGCAGACCGTACTGGGCGCGCGTGGTGATAATGGGCGTTTCGGGGACGACTTCGCCGCTGGCGGCCTTATTGTTGGTCTGCTGCGTGATCAGGCCGTTCTGGATCAGCACCCCGCCCACCGAGGTGTGCGACTGGCCGGTGCTGACCATCTGGTGCACGGCCGTCGTCGTGGCCAGCTCCAGCACCGGGGTCTTGACGATGTCGTGCTTATCCTTCGCCGGCACGACAATCTCCAGCTCCTGAAAGCCCGGAGTGGTAATTATCACAGAAACCGTTGTTTGCATCGATCTTGTCAAGAGTATGAATTTAGTTCGAAATCTCACACAGGGAATTATACATCATTTTATTAAACAATGCGAATTTAAGGCGAATTTATTAAACAGATATAATATAACAAAGCTTCTTTACCAAGCTGTGAAACCGCTTCGCTCCGGTCTGCTAAGGCACGACAACGTGCGTTTTTCTAGTATAATTAATGAGAATGGCAAATAATGAGTTATAGTATGCGTGATTCGATTTTCTCGACTGTACTTTTTCAAAAAATTCAAATTTTTCAAAAAAATATCCACTTTAGAATATTCTGCCAAAAAAGTTTTATTAAAAAGCAGTTCAAAAGACAAAAGGGTTCCGAAGAATGACCATGCACACAAGTGTTTGGATAAGCACTTAACCAGCTATGCTAAGTTCAGCAAATTAAGCCGTTACACTACATTCTTGTAACTTCCAAGACTTTTGCAGACACTTCTGAGATCGTGCTGCGCCAAAGGTTTAACCGACTATGGAATAATTCTATGGGATAATTTTTCAAAAAATTCTCAACTGCATCATTCTTGGAATCCTAACCAGAAAAACAGATTGTATGGCTAAGATGAGAATTCGAATAAAATTCAGGAATATTAAAAATCACATAATCCAATTACAAAATAACTTAAAAATATAAAAAAAATCTGCACAAATCGAAATAACTTAAAAAATCCAAACACAATTCAGAAATCACATACGTCATCCAAAAACAGAAAATTTGAATAAATTAAACTAACTGAAAAATCTGAATTAATCTTGAACAACTTCAAAAATCTGGGCATCAATGCCGTTTCTCCCCAACACACCCACCTTCACTTCGCCCTTCTCCAGCAGCGGCTTGAGATTCGTCGCGTTGACCACGCTGACATTATCGGCCTTCTTCTCGGCCAGCTTCCCCTGCTTCTGATCCAGCACCACGCGTTCCGTCATATGCGCGAACATCTGCCGATGGTCGCCGACAAAGAACGTATCCGGCATGTACGCCAGCTTCTCCGTGAACTGCTCGGCCAACTCCAGCGGCGACGTCACCCGGTCCGTGACGATGTAGTCCATGAAGGCCGCCCCGCTGGTCCCGGGGTAGCCCAGCCACATCACCTGCACGGGCGCCGGACGCAGCGCAAAGATCTCGTTGCGGGCGCCCTTGGTGTAGCCGTTCATGTTGATCAGCACGTGGATCTCGTCGCGGTTGATGGCCTCGGCCGCCTTCACCGGGTCCGGGTCGCTGGACAGGTCGGTGAAGTGGTCGGCTTCGCGGGCGATCTTGGAGCGGAACGTGGTCTGGTCGTCGGGGCTCAGGGCGTAGCAAAAGATCTGCGCAACGTTATCGTTTATAAGTTAAAAGTATTACTACATCGTCTAGATGTACTTATAGTGTGCAATATCGTAGTGTTGTGGCTTGTTCAGCGAGGCGGCTTGGACACATAGAGGAGATAAATTGCCCAATTTGTACAGATATCATCTGCACAGAAAAACTTTAATTCAAACAAAATTTGATTTTTATCGAAACACATATTCATATGTCATTAGTGTCTCCTTAAATAAATTTTATATCTGGGTTAGTCAACTTCATTCCAATATGCTTTAACGTTTTCGCAATTAAGTACTTTTTTAGTACAAAACCAGAAACAGTTTGTGTTGATTGATCTGCAGAGTGATTTGTGCCGAGTGTAAACTAAAAGCCACCGCGCATAAGAAAAAATCGCAAATACGAGTACATAACGCTGCTTTTATGGGAAAACAACCTAAACAATTTGTAAAAATTTTCGAGGTGAATAGGTTATGCATTTTATTTCATAAATTACTTCTAACCACACAATCGCAAATTAATCTGCTTTCAAACACAAAAATTTTAATCAGAAGAAATGTCTGTAAAATCAGGATGTCATACAGGATTTAGGAATAAAAATGCTATTAAAAAGTGTAATTATCCCTACTGCACCCTTAACTTCAGGGCGACAAGACATAGCAACATCGTACTAAAAGTTCAAGCGTTTCCGAAGACGTGCCCCTACACTACGATACCGTTTCGATAAATTTACGATAAATTTCTGAATCTTTCAATTTTCAAAATATCTCCGTTCTCAGCCGAATGATCAACATAAAAACTAAGTGATTTACCTCCACTCGATTTTTATCATGCATCCCGGGTATGCTCTGCATCAGATGCGATGTGGGATGGTTACCGAAGTCTGAGCTAACGTAGCCGACACGCAAACGACCCCCGATCAATCCCCGTGGATACTGGAATGTCGGTACCCTGTTCATATTCACCTGCAAATTACAAATTACAATAATCAACCAATTTATTAATTCAGTAATTTCTCGTTCAATATTTCAGAAAATCAAACTCCCAGTTTAGATATCATATTAATTTTTTAAGCTCCAAATTTCTAACAGAAATTGGAAAACTTCTGCTCGTATTCGCTCAAATTCATTAGCTGATTTATTTGTTAAGTTAATGATTTCCATTTTATTATTTCAGCAAATTAAGTTTTATTTAAAGATTAGATATAACAATTCTAAATTTAGCCGCAATAAAAATTGGAGAAACTTCTTTTCATAATCACCTTAAGTCATCAACCAATTTAAGTCAAAATAATTTCCAGCGCAATATTTTAGCAAATAAAATTTCAAATTTAGAGAATGAGCTGATTTTTTTGAAAATTTAGCTCCGATTAAAACCGAAAATTCCGTTCATATTCAGCTGCGATGATCGACCGATGGATTCGTTTAATAAAATTGAATATTCAATAGTGTGGAATTTTTGCAAAAAAATTAAACTGGGATTTGTCAATCGGACCTTGTCAACACAGAGCTGCGCATGTTTACTGGCAATCGCGCGACGGGCATCATGCGTCAGCGGGTAGAGCATACTGTGGTGCGGGTGGACGCTGGGCAGACGTCCCTTGCCCAGCTGCTCCATCACCACCATCACCACCTTCTTCATCCGTCCCTCGTAATCCCCCCAATCACACACAATCTGCAGGCAATGCGCCAGATTGCAGTAGGCATCCGGGAAGTCCGGCTTCAGCTTCAGCGCCGTCCGGTAGCTGGCCACCGCTTCCGTAATATTCCCTACAATCACATCCCCATTACGATAAGCAAATACTAAACAATCCGTATCAGTCAGATGAAAATTTCTGACTTTTTAAATTTATCTTTTTATATTTTTAATTTAGTTTCAGATTTATTGTTTCCAATTTGTTTGTAGATTTTAATTCTTATTTCGATTTCAACTCCATTCCCTTAAATTTGTGTTTTTCCACAATGATAACTAAGAAAAGTAGCCGGAACATTTACGCCCCTACAACGCAGGACGTTGTAGTACATTCTCAAGTCGTCCAGTAAGATGGAATTACGTAGTGTAATGGCAGTGATGGCACCATTCCAATGAAAATGCTCGAATATACGTGTAACTACCAACTACAGCTAACTATTAACTGCTGCGCGTAGATTAAGTTTTTTTCTGATTTCGAATTGTTTCTAATTACGAATTCAACTTCATTTCTATACATTTATAATAATCAAATTATTAATTTTTCTTAATTATTTCTAATTCCGAATCCAAATTTTCTCTCTATTTTTGGTAGAACAATAACTAAGAAAAATAAAAATATTCGCTGTGGTGCAAAAGAAGTGCCAGGTATAACTGCTATCCAAATTAATTATTTATCAGAAAGATTTCTAAACAACCTCGTTTTAGCGATATTAATTATGGAACTAGGAATAAGACTAAATCATTAAAAATACTGTATACAGAGTAATCCAGCAATCAGCGGAAAAAATTGTAGAAAATCACTATGGTCTCTCGAAAATAAAAATATAACGCAATGTTACGTAAAACAACTTTCCAAAAAACACCCCCACCTGTATCTTTATGGATACTGGCTAGATTACTGTGGGCATCGGCGAATGCCGGGTTAATATTGATGGCGCGCGTGTAGCAGCGAATGGCTCCCGGGATATCGCCCATCTCCTTCAGCGTATTCCCCATATTCGAGTAGGCATCGGCGAAGGTGGGCGAGATGCGGATGGCCTCCTTATAATGCGCGATGGAGTCCTGCAGTTTGCCCTGCTGCTGCAGCACCGAGGCCAGATTGGAGTGGGCGGCCGCGAAGTCCGGGAGAACCTCCAGGGCTTTGTAGTACAGCCGGATGGCCTCGTCGATGTGGCCCTGTTCACGCTTAATATTGGCTAAATTGTTCAGGGAGTCGGCGTGGCTGGGGCATAAGCGCAGCGCGGTATTGTAGCACTCTTCCGATTCCGGGACCTGTTCAAATTGGCAACATAGCACGCCATTTAGTTATTTTATTTCGCGACAGAAAACAACAGCCAGTAAAATAAATAAAAAAAACATCACTGTAAGTGATCAGAGAAGGAGAATAATTTCAAAATATAAAACCTGCTTTAAATAGTTGCATAAAAATATTGAAAAATAATATTAACAATTACATATATGAAAATAACTCAAAAAGTAAAAATAAAAAAATCTACACTAAATAACTGCATAAAAAAGATTTCCGTATTTTCCGAATTTAATTTCGAATAAAATTATCCCAATAATGTGGGCGGAGGCTAAACCAGAAAGTACGATTTCCAATTGCTGTTACCTTTTTATATATTATTCAGGGAAAACGAAACGAAAATTGATACAACCTGCACCAGAAACGAGCTAGAATTTGAACACAAGAACAACAGGTTATTTAACATATTTATACATTCAAACAGCAGTTCAGAACAGCATAACGTTAGCGGGGTTAATTTGTAAAAAACAAGTTTAAAAATTGAATTATGCCATCATTGCTGGAATTACAATTTTCAAAACTAATTTCCGAAACGCTACACGTGTTAACACACTAAAACTAGTGACAATAATTCAAAGGACGTGCCACCGTACCATGCCTTTTTCCTTGAGCGCATTGGCCAGATTGCAGTAGGCATCGGGGAAGTTGGGCTGTAATTCTATGGCACGCTTATACGTTTCAATGGACAGATCAATCAGACTGCAAAATAAATTCCGTTAAAAAATTAGGAAAATTACAACCACATACGAGTGTTATCGAATACAATTTTACCCTTGTTCATAATAAACACAAGCGAGATTTCCATGTACAACAGGATGATTAGAGTTGAGAGATAGAGCACGAAAATATGCTGCAATGGCGCTGCAATAAAAAAATAATATGATACAAAAACAGGAACTGAAAATAAACACAATAATAATGGCGAAAATTCTGAGTTGGAATTTTTCGCGATTTATTTTGGCTCGAAAATTCCGTTAAATAGAAGTGCCGATAAACAAGAATACGGTACCGATCAAATATGCGCGCTTCCTTGAGAACATTGCCCAGATTAATATACGCATCCAGAAAATTGGGATCCAGCTGCACCGCCTTCTCAAAGTGGTGTATGGCCAGCCAGATTTCTCCCTGAGTATTAAATACGCATCCCAGATTACTCCAGGCCACCGCAAAATTCGGCGCGCTTTCAATGGCTTTGAGATAACATTGCTGGAAAACACCGTAAAATTAAACAGTTGACGCAGATAAATTTATATATTATTTCCAAAATGGCAAAAACAACCGTAACCCATAAAAAAGGTAACAAACCAACTAAAATGCTTCGAAATACGTACAATTAATTCCTAAAATAATTTAATTACGAAAAACAATTCATAAATTCCTTAAAATAATTTTAAAATTCCTAAAACTGACTTTAAAATAATTTTATAATTCCTAAAATTAATTCCTAAAATAATTTATAAATTCCTAAAATTAAATCCCAAAATAATTTATAAGAACTTATTAACAAATCACGAAAATAATGCATAAAATACAAATATAAGAATAATTCATAAGACAGCAAAATCAAGCATGTAGATCAAGCAAAAATCGTAGCTTTTGTGAAGAAAGATTGTGAACAAACAAAACCAGATGTTCACGCACGATGTGACGCTAGAACGGAAATGGACAGGGCAAATTGATCGAACGCCAATTAGCACCTTCGGCGTCAATACGATTATGCAGCTTTTTAGCCCCGTTTTAACGCATATATACACAGGTAATCAATATGCGATGATTAGTGTGTCGGAAACGCATTCTTGCCAGCCTCATTCCCATGCAGCGTCACCCAGCAGCATTATCATGCCGTCTTCATCTGGCAACATTCATCGACCCTACCTTGGCTTCCTCCACACGCCCTAGAGCCTTGAGAAGATTGCCCAGATCACTTCGCACGCAGTACAAATCCTGCAAAACCGATAATCATCAAACAGCATTCGACGCAATTATTCATTACTGATAAACAAAAATATTGCTAATAAATCTGAAAGGTAATCTGACACCATAGATTTCGAAAACACATTTTGAATGCAAATATGAAAAATAATAAATGCAAAACAAACACAAAAAACTTTTTAAAAATTCCAAACCACTCATTACTGCAATCGCAATTTTTAATAATAAGTTTATGATTTTTTTATCACGCAATATTTACGAATTTATTTTTTAAAAATTATTTCAAACCCGAAAGAAACCTCAACCGAAACAACTTGTCAGATAAATTAAATTACCATATGATAGAAAAACTTTGGTTGCAGAAATCGCGAATATTTGACCAAGTGAATAAATTAGCCAAAAAGCATCTAGAAAAGCCACTACAGCACGGACTTAAATCTTAGAAAAATTTGTAGTACATTAGATTTTCAAGACAGTGTCACGCTATATTTCACGTTGTTTTACAATCGTTAGACTTCCGCTGACGGTGACACTTTTCTACATTATTCCACACCTCGGCGATAAGCGAAAAAAAAGCGGGGAAAACTTTCGGCATCTGCTTTATAATTTCCAATTACAGTAATTAAAATAAAACTTACAAGGTAAAAAAAAATCAATAACTAAATAACATAAAAATAAGAAGCAAAATAAAATTGGCCTATTTTTAAAACTGAGTATCACACTGTCAGCAGTCATCCCAATCCAAATGGAAACAGTGAGACAACACGCTTACCGGATTAATCTGCAGCACCTGCAGATAGGACTGCACGGCGCCCTCCATATCCCCGGCAATGACCAGCGCCGCGGCCAGATTGATGTAGCCGTCGATGAAGTCGGGCTTGAGGCGGACGGCGTGCCGGTAGCTGTCCAGCGCCTGCTGCAGCTGGCCGCGCTCCTTGTACACATTGCCCAGGTTGGAGTAGGCCTCGGCCAGCATCGGGTTGGCCTTGATGGCCAGCTGGCTGTACTGCGCCGATCTGCAGAAACGACCACAATCATCACTCATAGTTTACTAGGGAAACAGCTTGATCAGACAGAGAGTAAAGAGACACGGTTTGTCGTGTGTAGTCGAGCGTGGATTATGGACGAACGAGATATTCTCCCTCTCTCTTTTCTTCTCACCGAGCGACAGAAATATTTTCCAAAGCAAATAAAATTTCACAAATGTCATAACGACGGTTTATCGGGGTCTTATCACAACGGTTTTTCCGTGATTTTGTCACAAATTTACCGAAGCCTGACATCAAATGCAAATTCGAATTAGAAACTTCGGGAATTAGAGATCGGCGACGAACACAGAATTTTACTTTCACAAAACACCAAAAAATTCAAAAAGTGAAGAATATACATTAAAATCTGCAGCTTCGTTCAGTTTTTAAAAAAGAATTCAACCACAAATTTAAAGAAGCCTGACATCAGATGAAAATACGAATTAGAAACTTCCGGAAACCCGAGGTACGCGATCAACGCAGAATTTTACAAAACAACAACACCCATCAAAAATTAAATCTCTGCGAATGTTTCAAGCACTACAAAGAGACAAAAAAAAGAAAAATATTAAACTGTAATACATCAATTATTTCATTTTTAAAATTGAATTTGAACAGCACTTTATAATTCTTGTCCAGTCCTTTTAGCAAATGATGCTGTGGCACTCTTCTACATTATTTTATACGCTAACGATGTGCGCAACAACATAATAATGTGCAATATTTTCAGAATACCCATTTTACAATTCTCATTTCTCACTAATCATACAAAATTGCAAGATCACTATGATGAAACTCAATGAACTAAAATAACCACAAAAAAACGAACTTAATTAAAATCGAAATTAAATCGAAAAAAATTTGAGAAACGGTGCATCCGTTTCGCTCACCGAACGTGATAACCACGTTTCGTTATCGCTCAACAGTCGTCTGCAGGCCCGACCTGCGCAACGTAAAAAAATTTAAAAAAATTCCACTTACTTTTCATAACGCTGGCACTGCCAGTGGATGGAGCTCAACAAGAGCAGCACGCCCGTATTATTCGGATCCTGCTTCCACAGCTGCATACAGTGCTTCTCCGCGTCCTCATAGTTCCCCGCCAAATATTCCCGGTGCGCCAGCTCCGCTAGACCTGTCGAGAATTCCAACAAATTTCCCATTAAACGGTACCAGATCCGAAAAAAGCTCGACATGACGCAGAAAAGTAAAAAAAATTCATTTTTTCATTTATTATTCGAATTAAATTATTCGCGAAAAAATTCCAATAACAGTATGACTTTAAAAAAACGCAAAACGATAATAAATTAAAAAGCCTGCCAAAAAATTTCGAAACTTCATAACAGCAGGGAAAATTCAAAAATCATAATACTCAAGAACATTAGAACAAAGTTACAAATATAAAAACGATTTCGCAAGCCAAATAAAAACAATCTTTTAACTGTAGAAAAATCACGAGAAGACTGCATCGTTTCTGAAAACGTGAAACAAAAATAAATAAATAAAAGAACCCTGGAGAGAATCTCCGTGAATTTGAGTAATTCAATTAAAATTCTCAGGATAAAAAGCCAAAAAATAGAAGAAGGCAAGAACCCCATGAGAAACGGCCCACTTACCACCAACCGTCATGGCCAATGGTTTCTGCTCGCCTGTATAATAGTTCTGTACAGTGCCCGGCGGTCCTTGTGGCAGCATCGCCCCTGGCATTTATCAGGACCAACCCCCCAGCAGCACGGCCGCGAACCCTGCTCTAACCAGTGTCGTCCGATGCAACAACTGGTCCTGCGCAGTGGGTTCCTCCTGCTTTCATCCACACGCATCACCCAACAACGTCTCAATGGCTGTCATTCTGCGTCCCATTTATGTGGCAAGCATTCCCATTCAAAACAACTACAGACACTGCTCAAAACAATGCCAGAATTTTCCGCTGACGATCAATGGAAAATTTCACGAAATTTTCAATACTTCATCCTCACTGGCACCGTCACACAACACAACGCATGAGCTAGTGGGAAATATCACAGAGGAAAATAATTCAGAAATAAATCAAAGTATAAATATGTGCTGAAGAATTCTCGTGGGAGTAGGAAGATCAAATAGATAGCAGCAGCTTTGCAGGTTTCGATACAAAACTTGTGAATGGAATCAATGGACAGTTTGGAGGATGCCAAAAGATGAGAGACGAGAATGTGATTGCGGAAAAATCGCGCTCTCTGCGCTGTACTGTGTGTTGTCACTCTCTCTGTACCAGTCTCTATCTCTCCCTCTGTGCCAGTCTCTCTCAGCGCGCGCTGTGAGATGAGTCGGTGCGGCGCTCGTTAAAACGTGCTGACCTCATCGCTATACGAGGCTGTCTGTACGCAGCGCTGATCCCAGTGTGACGGTGCCGTGATTCACGGTTAAAAGTCGCGTACGTATGCATTGTACAGTACTCGTACTGAACATGACTTTTGGCCAGTTTGCTTGTACAACACACAGTGCCGACAAAATGATACAAATGTGGCTCGTTTTCGTGATGGGTTGCCGATTTCTTTTGCACTAAAACTGAAAAAAAAGGATATCATAAGCATAAGGCCTGAATAGTGAATAAACCTAAAATAAAAATCATTTCGAATAAATGCACTGAAAGCCTGCATCCGATGATTCCGATCGACGTGATTTAGAACAGGATGGCTGCTGAATGGAGTTAATGGACAGTGGATATCTTTGGCGATACGCAACTGGACATTTTGGCCACAACATTTTAAAAATTTATTATGATGATTTGAATTTAATGGAAACCTGTAGCCGCTTTAATTAAGCGCTGGGGAACAGCCGACCGAGCCTCTATTCTCCTCTGTTATATTGCTTCCCTATTACCGACAAGCACTTTAATACATTGGCGACCTCCCCCGTAGGCGGGTGCTGATTTCCTTTATTATTCTTCCCGAGCGCACTGCGGGTTTTCCAGTTTTCATATCATTTGCAGTGATCTGCTTGCGTTAGAAAATAACGTTGAGTACAGTAATTTGAACTAATTTGTAAGTAGTGTAATACAGATATGTACAGTATATTCATGCGTTACATAAGTTATTAGTAAACAGGAAATAGGAATTGCGTTTGATATCATCGTACCACTTCTCAATTTCCCGTCGCTTGCTCAGTTAAGTATCCATCACGCGAGGACGAATTGTTTTACCTATAGCCTACGGCCCTACAGGCTACAGGTATACTTATCGTTAAAATTTTAGCTTATAATTACACAAATTTGTGCGGGGTTTGTCAGTATGAGGTAATAGGTATCGGTTTATTTCATCGCTTTAGAAATCATGGCATGTTGTATCGCTCATCTTGCAAGGATCCCGACGAAGTGCTTGAGCCATCATATAAACCTTGCAGCAATAAGAAAAATTGGGAGACTCGGGATTCGGGGGAGCAGATTCACTGTCTCAACGAGGGACGCTCCGTTGAACGACCAAACAGTGAGTATCGTATATACAAGTAGATAATAATTATGCTTACATTACTTGTATTTACTTACTAAATACTATATGCACCAACTACATGTTTTTGCATGCATTAAATGCATGCATGCATAATTGTTCATGAATGCAGGGCCTGGGCCGTAGTAATATTTAACTAATTTTTTTCCATCGGTTGCACTTTACAGCGTTGGTTTGGCACGGTTACTCCTTGTTTCACCATTAAGGATGCGGATCGTACGAAGACCACAGAGTTAAAAAAAGGACATCAGCCACAGCAGAATTCATCGAACATTCAGCTGCGAATCGACAGCAAAATATTTTCCGTGAACAAAGACGCCCTGATCCAAGGCTCACCGTACTTCGCCGCCATGTTAAGTGGACATCTCCCGGAAAATAACACCACCAGCATCGTGCTCCATCGACCCGCGAACGTCCATCATCCAACACTGGTCACATTGGTAAAACACTTGAGCAGTGGAGACCGCATTTACAAACTATCCTTTAAGCGCAAAGATGCCGTTAATTTGTGGATGGCCGCCAAATACTTGCAGATGGACGGAGCCGTCGCGAAGGCTGAGCATATCCTGCGCGAGATAATGCGGCGACCGGAGAATGTGTACCGATTGTGGCGCCTGGCGCGCCGGGATGGACTGCCGGATCTGGAGAAACTAGCCGTAGCGAAGATTCTCCAGCAACTTCCCCGCCGCTCCGAGTTCGCTGAGTCCGAATTGTTTCTTCAGTGCAGTGTGGAAGAGGTCATGGATCTGCTGACTAATGAGGCGTACATTCCACATTCCGAAACCGCAGTGTATCGGGTTAGTGAGTCTTCTCAGCCTTTCAAGTACCGTAAAATCCGATATTGACGCCCTGGGCGTTTAATTTTTCGAAAGCTTCGAGAGGGGGCGTTTAAAACCGCAGGGGGCGTTTATTCCGGGGGGGCGTTTATTGTTTCATTTGAATAACGCGCTCATGAAATTTCATCGTCAAAGCCTAACGCTCAATATTAACAGGCATTTATAAGCTTAATGAATGTAAGCTAGTATCAGCAAAAACATGAGTATGCTTAAATTAGACCAGATTAATCAGATTCAGAATCAACTCCATCCTGTGCCAGAGGATCGTCCACTATTTCCTCATCGCTATTTTCATATTCTTCGTCCACGAGTTTTAGTTCTTCCTGCTCGTCTTCTTCCGATCTTGCTCAACATCTGCGGCTTTGTCCCGCAACAGTCCTAAGCCAAACTCACATCCACGACCTTCTTTGAAAATCATTATCTGATCATCCTCACTGCCATCCAGCGCGTTGCTGATGCCGCATGCCTTAAATGATTTTCTCACGATATCGGGTGATACTGATTCCCAAGCGTCAACTATCCACTGACAAAGCGTGGGGAGCGCAACCGCCTTCAGATTGCCGCCTTTAGTAACCTCGAGATTGTCCGAAGATAACCACTCGGTATAATATGTTCGTATGGCTTGCTTGAATGGTTTATTCCAGGACACATCAGCGGGTTGGACAAACTTTGTGCATCCTCCGGGGACCACAGCCATAAGTGTCTTTTGAAGTCCCAACTGCTTTTTAACAATTGGATCGATGTGACATTTGAATGAGTCCCACACAAGTAACCTTTGACCAAATAACGTACTCCCCAGCACTTCTTTCACATACGATTTGGTCAGCTCCGTGTTCATCCAGGTTGTTCCTTCATACTTCACGATCAGGTGACGACTGAACTTTTCCAGCTCTTTCAAGGGACGTTTCCGATTAAGCAAAACAAAAGGCTTCAGCTTCGTACCGTCCGCCTTTGCAGTCAGCATGACAGTTACACGCATTTTTTCATGACCAGTTGTCTTTACGGTGACTTCCTTTGCTCCAGTCGTTTCTAAAGTAGTATCAGATAGCATGTCGAACCACACCGCGGTTTCATCGCATCCAAAAATGTTGGGGGCCAGAATGTTGGGGTATATCAGAAACAACCCAAGATGCAAAGTTTTACTTTGTTTAACTAAGTTTTCAAAATTCGCATAATGTTATAAGAGCCGGATAAAAACTCCTTGGAGGTCAAGTTGTGTTGATGAATACTTACCATGTTTGACGTTTATCGCATTCCGAACATTTTCTCAATCATTATTAATATATGGATTTGCGTACCGAGAACCAGAGAACGCTATTCTCCGCATTGTTCGACACAATATGAGCTTTTCAGAACTGATGACGTGATAATTAGTGTTTTTGTACAAGTTTGTACACGATTAATGAAAAATTATCAAGTTGCCTAACGTGGAACAGCGCATATAATACACTGCCTCTGGCGTCCGGAAGGCGAATCCTAATTGTGAAAGTGTCCGGAATGTACTGAGTAGTTATAAGACTGCAGTTATAAGACTGAATTTGGCAAATTCATGTTTGCAGGCAATAGTGCGTTGGTGCATGCACGACGCCGCCGAACGTATGCAGTACATACATAAACTGTTGGATGGATACGTCGTGTGGGATAGCATGGATATTGAATCGCTGATAGCTTCCACTACCGGTCCACTGCAAGCCGCTTTAACACGAATTCGTGCTGATCGACACCGCGGTCTGATGGGCGGTGGTAGGTCGCTCAAACGTGCGATCCCGAAAGAAGCTATCTTCTACCACATGCGCGACGGGCACCCGCATCAGCTTCTTCGCTTCGATTTCCTCCGCAACGAGCTGACCAAGCTGGACACACCGCTGCAGGCGACGCTGGCCGAACGCTGGCCGACGATCCAAGCCGATGGTTTTGCGGTGGCCGTCGGAAGGGAACTGATCGTCGGCACCACATCGCCCGATCCGTATCATCACGAAATGATGGCCATGGACTGTAGCACCGGCTGCACACGGACGATTATGCTGCAGTCGCCCTTCAGCGGGTGCATGTGCGTGGTGGCGGTGGGCAGTGAAGTGTACGGTGCTGGTACAGCGATGAGTAGTCACAGCGAACGATGGTACTGCTTCGATGTGGCTACCGGGCAAGCCCGGGTATCGGAGCTGCCTTTCTACACTTTTGAGAAGCCGGCTATGCCGCCAAACATTCCGCCGGGGATGCAAATGCTGATGGATGTACTGATCGACGGTATAGAGGCCGTGTACCTGCGATATTACCGGTAAGAAAGTATACCAGAAAATTCATATGACCTTATACACAATAAAATATCTCCAGGAGTCGCCTACTGTAGCTGGATAATCACATATTTAATGTTAATTGCCCATTAGCCTTTGGTAGTGGGTCTGGCTTTAAGATTGTATGTTCTGAGTTCGATTCCTGGGTTGGGTAACTTAAATCTCAATCAAACCAAAAAAACGTATTGCATTTTCTAAATTGGCCGGATAATACTAATAAAATCTAAATAATCTTTATCATTTTATACGCAGCGCATCTATGGAGGCCTACCCTCTCCCTCACGGTCGAATCTGGTTTTCATCCGTCGGCTCCGTTGATGAGAAGCACGACAATCATCCCGAGAGTATGGTGGAGCTGTACGACATCCAGACCAACAAATGGACGAAACACACCGGTTGGACGGACGAACACAAGTTCCATCATCGCTGCGGGACGATCGTCTTCCAAGGATACCTGTACTTCATGGGTGGCTGTGTGGACGCCGAGGAATCGTTCTACTGGGAGAAAAATGGAAAAGCTGTGACAGCCTGCTACCGTGTCTCCCTAAGCCACGCCCAACCCGAACCGGAGCGCATCGCGGACCTAAACGTGGCGCGTTACCAACACTGCATCTTCATCAAGGACGGGCGGATCTGGGTGTACGGTGGAACGACCCACGTGGCCGGGGACAATCAGCGAAAACGGGCGCTGACGTCCTTTGAAGTGTACGATGTCGAGGCTGAACAGTGGACCGTGGTGGATGTGCCTATGTCCAAGGAACTGCAGGCGGAAGTAGCTGGAGGGTATTACGCGCAGAAGACAGTCTGTCTGCCGCTCCAGCATCGTCTGTCGACGGTATGCGATGGTCGTAATTTTCAGCGTCACGGCGATTACGACGAAGATAGATATTTTTATCGAATGTCCGATAAATTCAACGACAACCGGAAAGCCGATTGGCCGGCTGGTTTGGATGGTTGATGCTGTGTTCTGCTAAACGTTCTTTTTTTTGCATTTTTCATTTTTTCTTACGGTTTTTGTGTTCACAGGGATGATAGTCTCCACTTCATGCTGACTTTTATCTACGCATGTGAGCAATATTTTGTGGTCTAGAACTTCTCAATGTCAACCTGTTGTAATTAATTTTGCTATTGCATTTCGGTTTTGTACGGCTCACCGTTAAACAGATATTATTTTGTTTGAATTGTGTCTGCGCAAAGATTTTGATTTTAGACTAAATCTAACATTTCGAAAATTGGTAAGGAAAATTATCTGCTCTTCTAAGCGCTTTAAGCTATTCAGTGATTAATAGCGCAATCAATTCATTCATTCACCAATTATTCGCTCTTTATTAGCCAAGCTCAACCATACGCAAGCAAGTTAAAATCTAGACGATGTTCTTGGCAAGTGCGAATTTCATTGCATTTACATATTATTAACGAAAAAATACCAAAATTGAACATGAAAAAATAGAGTGTCGGTAACTGATCATGCACAGCGGATCATCATTAGTCATCCAGACCGGTCGGCCACTCGTTACCTTCGTCGCATTCCGAGCCGCCATTTTTCCTGTTATACTCATCAGTCATCCGATACGTAAATCCATCGTCGTCGTCCTCATAATTGCCCTCGTACTCATCCCCGACACATACCGCCGGAATGCGATGCTGCAAACGCGGCAGATAGACGGTCTTCTGCGCATAATCTCCACCAGCTACTTCTGCCTCAAGCTCCTTCGTCATCGGCACATCCACCACGGTCCACTGGTTCTCCTCCGCATTGTATCGTTCGAAGGACATCAGCGCCCGTTTTCGCTGATTATCGCCGTCGACGTGGGTCGTTCCGCCGTACACCCAAATCTGTCCGTCTTTGATGAATATACAGTGTTGGTAACGGGCCACGTTCAGATCCGCGATGCGCTCCGGTTCAGCCTGGGTGTGGCTCAGTGAGACACGGTAGCAGGCGGCCACAGCCTTCCCATTTTCCTCCCAGTAGAACGATTCCTTGGCGTCCACGCAGCCCCCCGTGAAGTACAGATACCCTTGGAAGACGATCGCTCCGCAGCGATGATGGAACATGGTTTCATCTTTCCAACCGGTGTGCTTCGTCCATTTGTTGCTGCGGATGTCGTATATCTCCACCATACTTTCCGGATTGGTGGCATGCTTCTCGTCAACGGAACCAACCGACACGAAGACGATTCTGCCGTGAGGAAGAAAGTACGCTTCCATCGACGCTCTGTGAAGAGAAATTCCGTTTTTGCGAATGCTGCTGTTACACCGAATCTGTGCACCGAACTGAAAAAGCTGATACCCTAATAGCGTTCAGTAACAACTTGCGAAGGTTATTGCTACAGTACACGGAAAACATTCGAACTTACCGGTAATACCGGAAGATTAGTGCGGCAATGCCACGTTTAGCATAAATCATGTCCTGCAGCATTTCCATTTCCATCGTTTGGACTTCATTGGCACCGTTGTTGCGGGCAAATTGAACGAGATTCGGTGGTTCTTTCTCGAAAGTGTAGTACGGCATTTGGGATGTTCGGCGCAGTTGTCCCGTGGCCACATCGAAGCAGAACCAATCGCGAGAATGATGACTACCGTGCGCACCCGCAGCACAGATTTCACTGCCCACCGCAACCACGCCCATGCACTCGTTGAAGAGCGATTCCACCATCAAAGTGCGCGTGCTGCCGCTGATGCAGTCCATGGCCATCATTTCCTGATTGGGTTCGGTGCCGACGATTAGTTCCCGGCCCACGGCCACCGCGAACCCGTCGGCTTTAATCGTCGGTGAATGCTCGGCCAATGTCGCTTGCACTGGGGTGCCCAATTTGGTCAGCTCGTTGCGGGTGAAATCGAAGCGGAGGAGCTGGTGCGGATGCCCTTCGCGCATATGGTAGAAGATGGCCTCTTTCGGTGCGGCACGCTTCAACAACGCTCCACCACCCATCAGACCGTGGAGGCGATCGGTCAGAATCTGCGTCAAGGCTTCGTGCAGTTCTCCCGAAGAGGTTGTGATGAGCGTGTTGATGTCCATCTGATCCCACACGATACACATGTTCAGCAGATGATACAGGTGCTGTGAGCGCTCGAGGGCGTCGTGCATGCACCAGCGCAGTACCGCCTGCAAAGGTCGAGTTAAAAGCCAGAGTTATTTCAACTTATTTGTAAACTGTTATCTCCCGAGTCCTCACATCTCACATTGCGAAATCTGACAAAATATGAATTAAGTGTGAAGAACCAAATTGATAATAAGGGAATGGTGTTTCAAAATATTAAAGCTGCATGGTAGATCCTGCACAATTACCTACCTGATACACCGTCGCTTCCGAATCTAGAATGTACTCATCATGGGTCAGCAGGGCCGTGACCTCTTCCACGCTGCACTGAAGAAACTGCTCCGATTCAGCAAACTGGACGCGACGAGGCAGCGTCTGCAGAATTTTCGTAAAGGTCATTTTTTCAGATCTGACAGCCCATCCCGACGAGCCAGACGCCAAAGACGGTACACGTTCTCGATCGTTTCATCAGACCCTCCAGAATCCCCGCGGCCGTTTTCTCGGCTGTGTCTAATTGCAGAAATCTGGAAGCGATCCACACTTTCACGGCGTCCTTCCGTTCAATGGACAATTCCGAGTCATCATTGCTGAGGTTCTCCACCAATTTGACTAGGGTTTCCATATGGACGTTCTCAGGTGGCTGCAGCTCAATTCTGGTCGAATTGCTGAAATTCTCCGTTGCGAACATGGTCGCGAAGTACGCTGACTTGGCCAAGAGAGCATCTTTATCCACGGATACCTCCGCACTGCCGATGCGCAGTTGTATCCTATCTGACTTCTGGTCAGGTTGAAGTTCCGTCTTCAGTTTCTTAGTTTTAGGACCCATTATGCCACAGAAAATTGCTGGTTTTGACAAGCCTTTTAATCAACTGAAAATTAATCGTCACGAGTCGCTATTCAAAACTGCCTAAATATTGCAAACCTTCAACTCAGATTCGTGCAAGGAAGCGAAGTGCATAATAAAATAACTTTGCGATGAATGATTATGCGATGACTGGCAAATGCAACTATTTCATGAAGCAGCTCAGGTTTTAACTTCCCAGCAGTGTGCGATGCGCCAGCAAAGATTATCCAATGATCAGCGTACGACACATCTTCAGGATAATAATTATACGGTGTGCAGCTTTGTGTACGAAGAAGTATGCTTCGTAGAAGTACGTTCCCTTCAAGCCCGGCTTCCTAAACCGTCAACAAAAATATGAATAAAAGCCCAGCATATGATTCAAATAACAGCGGCCGTTATCATACGGCCGGTACGGCGTACGATAGTTTCCTCCTAGTGACCCGTTATGACAATGTGTGGCGTGTCAAAACAGTCAAAGCGTAACGGTTTGTAATAGCTGTCAAGCGTAGAACATTGCCAAATCGCACAACCCTGCGACTGGAAACCGGTATCGACGCCGTCAGTGCCCGAATGTTGCACAGAGACTCAATCAGTTCTGTACAACGGCGGCAGCGACTGTCAAGACGAAAGGACATGCACGCAGTTCCAGCATCGCCTTGCAGCCGACCACTGTGTTGTGAAGTGGCACAACACAGCCAATTATCGGCAAAAGATGGCTGTAACGGCGCAAAACGTCCGGACGTCTGACTGTTTGTGAGATGTGCGGAGTGCGGACGTATTGGTCGGTTACAGATGGCGCGCAACATCCGCATTGTGGGCATAAAGGTTAAGCGAACGGTGCTGCGAACTGCAGAGCGACTGCAAATCTACAATTACGGATCCTTCCAAATCTTGTGCAGAGCAAAAAAGACAGTATACTGGGTCTCGCCGTCTCACACCAGTCCGACTGCTGCCGTTTACCGGACGATACGTCGTCAATGTGCTGGCGTGTAACGACCCAGCGCCACGTGACACTCCCGTGGTGGAGCCATTTATCAACTGTTTCCGAAGCGCGGCCGTGAAGAACTGCGATTTCTTCCACAACAACCAACAACAAACATGCCGAAAATTCCATGCCGAGTCGGAATTGCCGACGTGCTTGGGTGCCATTTATTAATATTGAAATGTACTCGCCGCTACTCGGTATCGATTGTCTGTGCCGCATTCGCTCTTGATTAACTTTTTATATGAGTACTTCTAATTACGCAAATAAAAGAACCGCATCCAATTACAAAACGATTTAATTACAAAACTAACTTTAGTGCCGGATTCCAGATTGTACTGTACAGCTCTTTGGCTAATGTTCCCATATACGGCAGGGGATAAAAGGTGGCAGTGGCACCTGCCACTGGCACCTGCCACCGGCAGGGGCACTTGCCACTACGCGTTCTGGCAAGCGATAAAACGTGGCAACTTTTAAAAATTCAGAATCAGCTTGAGACAATGTTCCCATCCAACGAAAAGTTCTAAGGAGAGCTTTTTCGTATTTTCACAGATGGACTCTACAGAACATGTCTATGGACGCACACCCCAGCTGAGTCTTGTGTCCGCGCCTTCCAATGCAGTATTAAAAAGGTGCTGCAAGCCTGCAACTCTGTTTAGCAGACGAAAGTGTCACCGATTACACTCACAATCAGTGCCAGCGCAAGCGCAAGGTTTCTTGCGCGGAAAAAGCGCAAGAAACCTTCAAAAATTGATAAGTCTTAAATGGCTAAAAAAATGTTTTCTCTGTACGAGTCAGGCTGCAATGCCTGGGGGGGGGGCGCATTGTCCACTGACGAATGTGGCGCATGTAACGGTGACCGCATAATGTGCCAAACACCGGCTTAAAGTCCTCAAAGGTTTCAGTTACGCCCAATAGACTGTAAGACAACGAAAAAGTAAAAAAACTTGCGCTTGATTCTGGCAAACAAAGAGCGCTTCTGGTTATAATTTTTTATGAATCTGTGCTGTAGATACTGCAGATGTAATCGGTGTGCAATATTTTTATTTTGTTTGTTTTCGTTTTTTATCTTTTTTGACAAACCCTGAGCGAACCATCGGTACGCACTCGGTTCGGTATCCCTCGTACTAAGACGCGTCAAGAATGTTTTTTTTACGAAGTGGCTATTTTGCCGCAGTATTTGCGGTAAAACAGCCTTTAGCTATTTTGCCGCACTATGGCCGGCA